GTGGAAGACAGTCAGACACTACGAATATGGGTATTGTAGCCTGCAATACTACAGTACTTCTTCTTTCTTTCAACAAACCAGCCATATCCCACCGAGGCAGGGTGGCCCAAAAAGAAAAACGAAAGTACTACAGTACTATTCTAACCAAAACTCAGTGGGGGGAGGGAGTACTGAAAATTAACACTTGATAACATGTGATTAAGGGAGCATTGCGGTAGACCTACTTGCTCATGCTAGGCAGATCCTACCTACACATGTTACTTTACATTATAGGAGCAGTGAGGTAGGTGTGTGTGTGTGTGTGTGTGTGTGTGTGTACTCACCTAGTTGTACTCACCTAGTTGAGGTTGCGGGGGTCGAGTCCGAGCTCCTGGCCCCGCCTCTTCACTGATCGCTACTAGGTCACTCTCCCCGAGCCGTGAGCTTTATCATACCTCTGCTTAAAGCTATGTATGGATCCTGCCTCCACTACATCGCTTCCCAAACTATTCCACTTACTGACTACTCTGTGGCTGAAGAAATACTTCCTAACATCCCTGTGATTCATCTGTGTCTTCAGCTTCCAACTGTGTCCCTTGTTACTGTGTCCAATCTCTGGAACATCCTGTCTTTGTCCACCTTGTCAATTCCCCCTATTTTTGTATGTCGTTACCATGTCCCCCCTATTTTCTCCCTGTCCTCCAGTGTCGTCAGGTTGATTTCCCTTAACCTCTCCTCGTAGGACATACCTCTTAGCTCTGGGACTAGTCTTGTTGCAAACCTTTGCCTTTCTCCTAGTTTCTTTTACGTGCTTGGCTAGGTGTGGGTTCCAAACTGGGTGCCGCATACTCCAATATGGGCCTAACGTATACTGTGTACAGGGTCCTAAAACGATTCCTTATTAAGATGTCGGAATGTTTGTTCTGAGGTTTGCTAGGCGCCCATATGCTGCAGCAGTTATTTGGTTGATGTGCGCTTCAGGAGATGTGCCTGGTGTTATACTCTCCCCAAGATCTTTTTCCTTGAGTGAGGTTTGTAGTCTCTGACCCCCTAGACTGTACTTTCCGTCTGCGGCCTTCTTTGCCCTTCCCCAATCTTCATGACTTTGCACTTGGTGGGATTGAACTCCAGGAGCCAATTGCTGGACCAGGTCTGCAGCCTGTCCAGATCCCTTTGTAGTTCTGCCTGGTCTTCGATCGAGTGTATTCTTCTCATCAACTTCACGTCATCTGCAAACAGGGACACCTCAGAGTCTATTCCTTCCGTCATGTCGTTCACAAATACCAGAAACAGCACTGGTCCTAGGACTGACCCCTGCGGGACCCCGCTGGTCACAGGTGCCCACTCTGACACCTCGCCAGTACCATGACTCGCTGCTGTCTTCCTGACAAGTATTCCCTGATCCATTGTAGTGCCTTCCCTGTTATCCCTGCTTGGTCCTCCAGTTTTTGCACCAATCTCTTGTGTGGAACTGTGTCAAACGCCTTCTTGCAGTCCAAGAAAATGCAATCCACCCACCCCTCTCTCTCTTGTCTTACTGCTGTCACCATGTCATAGAACTCCAGTAGGTTTGTGACACAGGATTTCCCGTCCTGAAACCATGCTGGCTGCTGTGATGAGATTATTCCTTTCTAGGTGTTCCACCACTCTTCCCCTGATAATCTTCTCCATGATTTTGCTTTACTATACATGTCAGTGACACTGGTCTGTAGTTTTAATGCTTCATGTCTGTCTCCTTTTTTAAAGTTTGGGACTACATTTGCTGTCTTCCATGCCTCAGGCAATCTCCCTGTTTCGATAGATGTATTGAATATTGTTGTTAGGGGTACACATAGTGCCTCTGCTCCCTCTCTCAATACCCATGGGGAGATGTTATCTGGCCCCATTGCCTTTGAGGTATCTAGCTCACTCAGAAGCCTCTTCACTTCTTCCTCGGTTTGTGTGCACTGTGTCCAGCACTTGGTGGTGTGCCCCACCTCTCCGTCTTTCTGGAGTCCCTTCTTCTCCTCTGTGTGTGTGTGTGTGTGTGTGTGTTTTGTGTGTGTGTGGGGTTTATGTGTGTGTGTGTATGAATTTGTATGTGTGTGTGTGTGTGTGAGAGAGAGAGAGAGAGACTCAGCAATCAACATTTGCACAATAACTCATACAGTTGTGACCGGGTGTGGAAGTGTGAATTGCTCATTACTCTAAAATTTGTTTTATGATTGCAGCCATGTATAAACGTAAGTAACCATTCTTACAGTATTCATTACCTTTGTAACTTGTGAGTTCATTACCTTTGTACCTAGTTCAGCCATCAAAACTTTGGAGCCCAGTCCCTGGACCCATTGTGTACCTCTGTAATCTGTAAATACCTTTGTAACTTGTCATGATTGTGACTAGACCTACCTGGAGTTCATTACCTTTGTAAATTGTGAGTTCATTACCTTTGTAAATTGTGAATTCATTACCTCTGTAACTTGCTCAGCTATCAAAACTTTGAGGCCCAGTCCCTGGACCCATTATGTACCTCTGTAATCTTTTGACTACCACCCACAGGATGGGTATGGGGTGCATAATAAACATATTAAACTAACTAGCCCATGCTAAGCAAGTTCTACTGAAATCCAACCTTTCTCAACAATAAATTTGTCCAGCCTGTTTTTAGAGCTACCCAACATTTTAGCTTCAATAATCAAAGGAAGGCAGGGCAGGGCAGGGCAGGGCAGGGCAGGGCAGGGCAGGGCAGGGCAGGGCAGGGCAGGGCAGGGCAGGGCAGGGCAGGGCAGGGCAGGGCAGGGCAGGGCAGGGCAGGGCAGGGCAGGGCAGGGCAGGGCAGGGCAGGGCAGGGCAAGGCAGGGCAAGGCAGGGCAAGGCAGGGCAAGGCAGGGCAAGGCAGGGCAAGGCAGGGCAAGGCAGGGCAAGGCAGGGCAAGGCTAGGCTAGGCTAGGCTAGGCTAGGCTAGGCTAGGCTAGGCAAGGCTAGGCTAGACTAGGCTAGGCTAGCAAGACACACAGACAGGGCAGGTAAGCAGACATGCAGGGAGGCAGCTTGGCATGGAAACAGGCACACACATAAGCAGACACACAGGCAGGCAAGCAGGCAGGCACTGAGCCAAACAGGTATTGGTAAAGAAATGTTAATTATCATATTTCACGATGAACAAGATGCTCCATATCTAGGATGCTCCTCCACTTCTGACTGGCTAAGTGTTAAAGAAAGCGCTAATGCTATTAGTTTAAATAATAACACATTATGCATTCCTCTCATTCTCCAGTATTCAGGTGAGTGTTCTAGATCTGCTGAATCCCAATCAACCATTTATTCCTCATCATGTGATTAGTCATATTCTCTCTTTACTCACTGTCTCGGTGCTTGTTAGTGAATGTGTCGACGGCTTGGACTGCATATTGATTTATGATGGTTTATTGTTTTTACTGATTTTATTATTTAATAAGTAGTAGATTTACTGTTTTGCAGGCACCTGCATTATTGTAATAGTAATTGTATAAATAATGTAAACACAGTAGTGAACACATATGAGACAAGTGGTGGTATTAGTATCCTCTAGAATATTGATAAAAAAACAAATATTTCTGCTACTTTGAGCTCAGTTTCAAACTACTTCCAGTCCTGAAACTTATCAAAATCAACTCTACCAAATCATTCTACCAAATGATACCAAGAAACTGAGAATAAAACCATAAAAATCATCCAAAAATACACTGCAAATTCACTATTTTAAATCATACACACTGTCACAGTTTTGCTTTTTCTATCATGCACTGTGTGGGACAGGATTTTTTTTTGATAAGGTGCACACTTGCCATACAGATGCATTCTCTCATATCTAGGACAAAATTTACCACTCACAGCTTATCTGAGTGAGCTAAGCTCATCAAGTAGTACTACAGCACAGACCCTTAGCTGAGTGCCATAGTACTATGGCATGGACCCTGAGCTACAACATGAAGCTTGAGCTCAAAGCCATAGTACTAAGCAAATAACCCTCACCTAGGAAAGAGGAGCTTATGGCGATGTTGCGGTCCGACTTGGACTATTTACAAAGTTGGATTGAAACGTCGTCATAATCGCCTCTCTCCTATGTGCAGGTTATTTGTCTATTGTTCCAGTCACGATATTGTGCCTTTTTGTTCCATAGTATTACAGGACGAGCCCCGAAAGGGTTAATATCAGGATTGTTTTAGGTGAGTAAAAATATTATTACTGGGTGGTTTGATAGTAAACAAGCGAATTAACCTACTGATGCTACCCATAGTCCATCCAACTCCATCACCTGGTTTACCTTAGCTTACCGGATCTAACTGCCAATGAATTTTTACAATTATTTATGATAATTTTTGTTATTCATTATTTTATACAAAATAGTTTACCCAATTCATTTTAGGGTCATATACAGGAACTTAAATTACTGTCTAGTTTCGAAACACTTCTCTAGGCAATGTAACCTTCAATCTTCAAGATGCTGGGTAAATTTTAGAAACTTATTTTGAAGTTTTTGGGACTAGTACAGGTCAAGTTGTTTGGAGGGAAGGAGTGATACCTGGCCATATGTGAGAGGAGTGAGAGACAAGGGGGTGAGTACAGAGAGGAATCATCTTGTCTATTCTTAATGCTGTACTTGTCCACTGCAATTCATTCTTTCTCCACACCATAATAAATATATTATTCTCTGCATCCATATTAATACACTGAATTTAAAAATTGGTTGAAAAAAAAGTCAAAAGTTACTATGTAGTAACTTGTACTCGCTAATATATGTCTAATAAAGTGTTTAGAATCGAATACTTAATGATCTTCACCTTAGCCATTGTGTAAATTTTGTCTAGAACTGTTTCTATGTACTGTTCGGTTATATTTTATTTGACATCATCATTAGAAAAGACTTTAGTTATAAATATGTTAGAATTTGTCTTGTGAAGAGTTTTATATAATCTATCTTTTTAGTTTACAGAACTAATCTAGTTAGTACTGGCAATGTGGTAAAAAAATGTCTAATATCAAATCTAATTCTTTTTCAGACATCTTCTGGCTGGGAATTCCGGTACTTGTTTGTGCAGCTTGACTCTTACCCTTATGAGGTCATTGTTATTGAGGACAATAGGGGAACAGTGTTTGATTCCTCCCAATCACCAGGACTTCCAGATCTTACTGATTCCCAATAATACAATAAAATAACTTATTTGGACACCACAATCAAAACAATACCCTAGAATTTGTCCTGGGCTAATTTTCTATACAGGAAAGCTCGACTCTTCTGTTCTCCAAATATCTGGATGACTTTAGAATTTTTCTGCATAAAATGTGCACTCTAATAAATTGATTAATATTACACCATAAGGCAACAAATAGCTTTGATTCTTGTCCTTAAATACCCAGGCTCTCTTCCCTCTCCCATTCAGTATTCTATGGTATAGGGCATGCTAAGACTACCATGCTTACAAGATTGGTGGCCTCTATATAACTGTGCCTCTGTATGTCTTTTGTTTTAATTATTATTATTATGGGGGGAGCACTAAACAAATAATGATTATACAGTGCCTGAGGGGGAGAGAGATGGAAGGCATTCAGGCTCAATTCAGGGAACTGGATCACAGCTTTTTGTTTTAATTTTCCATCAAATAATTTAATTTAATTTTTATAAATTAAAGAAAACCTCTCCAATATAAATGTTGGTGTAAGTTCAAGAAGCTACTTTGTATACTATTTATATTGTAATATATTTCTACGTTTTTGACCAAATAAAATATATAAGAAAGTTGGGATCATTTTATTCATGGTAATATTTATGAGTACAAGTTAACCCTTTCAGGGTTTTTGATGTACTAGTATGGCTTACACACCAGGGTTATTGACGTACTATACTAGAATGCCTAAATTCTAGCGCCTTCAAATCTAGCGAGAGAAAGCCTACTTATGAAAGAATGGGTCTATGTGGCCAGTGTGTGCAGTATAAAAAAAAATCCTGCAGCACAGTGCGTAATGAGAAAAAAAAACTTTGTGTTTTTGGATTAAAACAGCGACTTTGCACTGTATTTTCATATGGTATTTATGGTTGTATTCTAGTTTTCCTGGTCTCATTTTATAGAATGGAAGACATTACAGAAATTGAGATGATTTTGACTGGTTTCACAATGAAAAGTACCTTGAAATTGAGCTCAAAGTAGCAGAAACATTCGATTTTTACCAAAGTTCAAAAGTAAACAAATCATGCCAGGCATCCAATACACGTCAAATGGTGAGTCTAATATTCTGCAGTAATCTGCATAACAGTAAATCTTCTATTTTTTGTAAGAATAAAAATTCAAAGTGGAAAGCAAAAGAAATATAAGAGGGGCCTGGGGATGTGACTGACAAACAGAGAACTTGTTATTTTAGTGCCAGAAATGTCTGTCTTGTTTATTCTGGATCCTATTTGGAAATTGGCATCTTCTGAAATTTGTGTGAAATTGGCAAAATTGCCAATTTCTAGCCACTTTATTGGATAGTTGAACTTGGTAAATGGGTGGTTTCTTGTACTCATTCAATAGAAAAAATGGAGTTCTAGGGAAATAAATATTATTTTTGTCGACTAGTACACAGGAATTGGCCGAAAATAAGGCTCAAAGTGGGCGAAATTGCCAATGCGTAAAAATCGGCGAGACCGCTAACTTTGCGAGAGCATAATTCAAATTTCATACTTTTGGTGTCATTATGACCGGGAAAAGATTCTCTATCATTTCATAAGAATTTTTTTTTTTTTCCGAAAAATTTTCGACCCTGAGAACAAGTTTCGGAGAGGGCCTCTCGACCCTGAAAGGGTTGAAGTCCATGTATGTTGTGTGTCTTCTGCACACTGATTTCCTAAGTACAGTATTGGGAACATCAAGAGCAAAATCTTGCCTTATAAACATACTTCACCTTAAATATTCATATTAAGTTTATCATTCTGTACTGCAGTCCCTTGGACTTTGGACATAGTAATTTTTCACTAAGCAGTAAAAGTGTCTGATCATGCATGTCTTAACGTTGACTGAGGTCACCAGTTTTTTTTTTTGGTTTTGTTTTCTTGAAGATCCCATGTTGTGCTTTGGTGTCTCAGCATCAAGATCTCTTCACTCCAGTAAGTGCTGCATTCTGCCACCCAGAGATAAAGCTCTCATTATCATTATATTCATGGATAAGTGCTAAACATGTAAGGGTCATACAGCTCCTGTAGAATAAGAGATAATCAGGTTTGATCCATGGAGAGGGTAGCTCCAGTTCCTTGGATCAAGAATCCATCAGCATCACAGCATAAATTCCAGAGAAGGGACTCTCAATGCTTAGTTTTATCTGGGTGCTAGACACATTTTTGTAGACTATTATTATTTTGTTCATTAGGAGGAGCTAAAAGGGATAGTATGGAGCTAGTGGAATGGGGATTCAGTCAGGTTTGTTCTTAGAAAGCATTGTCCAGATAGAGACAACATAAACACTGAGCAGATGTCCACTATTTTGCATGACTGATATCAACAGTCATCCAAAATACCTAGAACTCACCACATGAAAGTGTCTGCTGTTTGAGTTCCATCACACTGTGCACTCCAGACAAAACTATAACCACAACATTGTGTCACTACATTGCAGTAAATACCTACCTTAAAATTTGTTCAGTTATTGATTTGAAAATAATTATAAAATCCTCTCTATTCTATCAACAACTTCTTAGCAGTACTACTAGTATTACATATTAAGTTGATGGGAATTGATCATCTAGATCAAGCCACATTATCTTTCAGCCTTCCTTTCCTAGCACTTTGGTTAAGATGAAATATATCTACAGGTCTAAGGTCATCAGAAGTAATGAGTATTGGACAAAGTGGAGTCAGCTGGTATGCTCATAGGAATGCAGTCGTGAACTTCTAGTTTTTGTAGGTACTGATCATAAAGGTCCACTCGACGGGACCCTGAAGACTTAAGTAATCAGTACTTTACTCAAAAGAGAAGGAGTTTCAACCAAAGAAGACAATGATGGTGACCCACTTGGCAGAGTCCTGAAGGCCTCCCAGTTGCCAACTTTTAACTGTCCTGGGAATAAATACAACCCAAGGAGAGAACTGAGGGTAAGACCTCCTTGAAGGTCCCAAATGCATTTTTAAGTATTAAATAGTAAGTTGTTGTTCTTCTACACTGATAGAAAGCCTACACAAATACAAGACACGAGACATTCCATTCGGCGGTGTCTTGATGGTGTTCATCTGTGGGTTTTACCTGGAGTTTACCTGGAGAGGGTTTCGGGTGTCAATGCCCTCATGGCTCAATCTGAGACCAGGCCTCACGGTGGATCAGGGTCTGATCAACCAGGCTGTTGCTACTGGTCGCAAGCAAGCTGATGTATGAGCCACAGCCCAGTTGGTCAGGTACTGATTTTAGGTGCGTGTCCAGTGCCTTCTTAAAGACAGACCGACAAAAATTATTGTAAAACAGATAACAATTTAGTACAAATGAGTACGTATTACAAAGACAGGTCATATGGTCATTTACTGTGTTGCTGTGTAATCAGTAGAATGGAGTATTCTGTTAGGAAATGAAGTTAAATAGTAACTAAAGTTTGATTGGGTCACAGGTTGACATTTATGAGATACAATAATGCGTGTCGTATGAGGCGACTAAAATGCCGGGAGCAATGGGCTAGTAACCCCTTCTCCTGTATACATTTACTAAAAAAGAGAAGAAGAAAAACTTTATAAAACTGGGTTGCTTAAATGTGCGTGGATGTAGTGCGGATGACAAGAAACAGATGATTGCTGATGTTATGAATGAAAAGAAGTTGGATGTCCTGGCTCTAAGCGAAACAAAGCTGAAGGGGGTAGGAGAGTTTCAGTGGGGGGAAATAAATGGGATTAAATCTGGAGTATCTGAGAGAGTTAGAGCAAGGAAGGGGTAGCAGTAATGTTAAATGATCAGTTATGGAAGGAGGAAAAGAGAATATGAATGTGTAAATTCAAGAATTATGTGGATTAAAGTAAAGGTTGGATGCAGAGAAGTGGGTCATAATAAGCGTGTTATGCACCTGGAGAAGAGGGGAATGCAGAGGGGGAGAGAGAGATTTTGGGGGAGTTGTTAATTGAATGTTAGGACCCTTTAAACCCAAGTGAGAGGAATTGTGGTGGGGCCCTGAATGCAAAAAGTAGGGGGAAAAACTTTTAGGGGGAGGGGTGTGGGTAGGAAATTTTGGGGTTTGCAGGTGAAAAATTGATAATGGGAGCCCTTTGATTGAATTTTTGTATAAAAAGGGGTTTTTAGTTATAGTAATACATTTTTTAAGAAAAAGAGGAAAATAAGTATACAAAAAATTGATGTAGGGCGAATGACAGTGTTTTTTGGTTTATGTATTGGTAGAAAAAAAGACTGCTGGTAGATTCAGGATGTACTTTTTTTTGGGGGGCCCACAGATATATCAGATCCTTTCTTTTGTATACACTGAGAGAAAAGGTGATGGGATACAAGGAAAATAGAAGCACAGGGAAGAGGAGGTGAAGGTTTAAAACAAAAAGAGGGGGCAGTTAGGGTAAATATAAAAAAGTTTGGAGGATAGGGGGCAAATGAGAGATAGGCAAGGGGTCAAAAGAGGTAGGGGGTAGGATTAAAAATGTAGTGTTGAGTGTTCAGAGAAAGTTTTGGTTCAGGAAAGTGGGTGCGGAGGGAAGAGGAGCGTTTTGGGTGGAATGATGATGTAAAGAGGTGAAAGGGAGAAAAAGTTGCATATGAGAAGTTTTTCAAGTAGAAGTGATGCAAGGGGGGAAGGTATAGGGAGAAAAAGGAGAGGTTAAGAGAGGGGTTTGAAGCATGAAAAAGGAGAGCAAATGAGAGAGGGGGTGAGTTTTTATCAAAAAAATTTTGTTGAAAAAAAAAAAAAAAGTTTTGGAGTGAGATTAACTTTTAAAGAAAGCTAGGAAAAAAGGATTTGTCATTTAAAAATAGGGAGGAGAGTTTTAAAATGGAGAGTTAGGGTTTTTGGGGAAAGATGGAGGGAATTTTTTGAGGAATTTGAAAAAGTTGATGAAGATAGGGAAGCTGTGATTTCGTGTATAGGAAGGAGGAAAAAATCTTGTGGAGTGGGGAAAGGCCAGTTGTGGTGTGGGGAAGTTCGTGAGGCAGTAGGTAAAATGAAAGGGGGAAGGCACCCGGGTTTTGATGGGATAAAGATAAAAATTTTTTAAAAGCAGGTGGGGATATAGTTTTGGGTGGTTGGTGAAATTATTTAATAAATGTATGGAAAGGGTAAGGTACCTAGGGTTGGAGGAGCATGCATTTTCCCTTTGTATAAGGCCCAAAGGGGATAAAGAAGTGCCCAAAAATTAAAGGGGGGAAAAGTCTGTTGAGTGTACCTGGTAAAAGTGTTGGTAGAGTTAAAAATTGAAAGTTTTTAAGGTAAGACGGAGAATGGAAGGATGAAAAAGGGGCTTTAAAAAAGGGTAGGGGGGTGTGGACGGGGTTTTTACGTGAAACATAAAGTGAACAGTATTTAGATAAGGCAAAGGGGTCTTTGTGGCTTTTTTGGATTGGAAAAGGCGTATGACAGGGGGATGGGGGGCAATGTGGCAGATGTTGCAAGTGTATGGTGTAGGGGTAGGTTACTGAAAGCAGTAAAGGGGTTTTTACGAGGATGTGAGGTAAGTTAGGTTGTAGGAAGAGGGAAAATTTTTTCCCAGTAAAGTAGGCCTTAGCAAGGAGTGTGATGTCAGGGGTTTGTTTAATATATTTATAGATGGGGTTGTAAGAGAAGTAAATGCGGG